TGTGACAGACTGTCTCCTCCACCCTTCAAGAATCTTCCTTTTCTTAACCCCCAGTGACCACTCTGCTTCCTAGGGTTCTACCATCAGTATTCCTGTATCCAGTGTTAGATGTGGCTCCCTGCTCTCTCTGTAGAAGAGCTGCCTACCCAGAGTCTTGGCTCTGTGACAGACCAGTGCTGTTGAGGTCTCAGTTGCTCTTCTGTTTCATCTGCTGAACCCCAACTGTATGTGTGAGGTGATGCTTGAAGTAAGAAGTGTGCAGTTTGGCCAGGGAGCCTCCATCCTGTGGGCGAGGCCCCCTTCGTTGCCACGATTAGTTACCGAGAGGTGCCTTCAGACCTGGATGTTACCATCCTCCCACCTGCTGGAGCCCCTGATGCATGGTTTCACAGAACTGCTCGAGAGGGCCTAATCTAATTGTGATTAAGCCGTTGTACGTAAGCATTACTTGATCTCACTGTTTGGTGTCCTAACCAGAGTTGACAGACTTTGTGTATCTGTTTTAATAGATGTCTTGGGAGTGTGTTGTTCTGTTTTTGCAGACAGCTCTAGATGTCATTTTGGAAGGTTTTACAGTCTGGTGTTCATGCTGCTATTGTTCACTGCCAGTGAAAGTTGCTGATAGTTTCTGTAGTCTGTCTGGTTTTGTTGATACATCAGTCCTGTCTTTGTATGTGAGTAACCCACCTTAAACACCTTACCCTATTTTAGAAACTGACTTGGGAAGAGCTTGATCATTCAGGTTACCTATAAATTTAGATAGCTGTCCCTAGGTGTTTACTGTTTTTATCCAGTCTCTTTTCCTTGGATATTTGGTTTAGATTCTGGGGCCAAATAGACAGGCAAAGTTCTACTCAAATGTGACAGTCACAGCCAGATGGTTCTAACATCGTGAGCCTTTTCTTTGTTGGTCACTTCTTCAAGCTGCTCTAAATTACCCTGATGGAGCGAGACTTGCCAAACACCTCACCTTTGGGACCATAGCAATTAAAATGAAGTGTAGCTGGAGTAGCCAGCATTGCAGCTGTCTGGTTCTCCACAGAAAACCCAAGGCGTGTAAAGGGACAGTATTTTGCTCATGTGGAAATCAAGGCCTCATGTTCCTGCCCCCTGGTACAGAGTTTGAGACTGAATGTGTAATGGGAGCTGGGAGCATTGCCTTTGCCAAATGAAGTGAGTGACAGGTTAACTAGAAAATGTGACAATCACAATCCCTCTTAGTTCAGATAATTCTGTTTTTCCAAAGCTTTCACAGTGTGATTAAATTCGTTGGGCTGAGGGGTGGGGTGGGGGGAGAGCTGTTCTCTAGTGGCTAACACGCCATTCTCTCGAAGAAGAAAAGAAACCAAAGAAAACTCATTACCTGGCATGTTTGCCTTAAAAACGGTAGTGAACAGAATCTGGAGTCTGAATCTCTTCACAGCTAGGGATCTCGTACTTGTTGCCCTCTCAGTCCAGCATTTCAGGTGGAATTCTTGCTGTGTGTTCAAATTCGAGGAGAGTCCGTGCATGTAGCTGCCTCCCTAGCTTTGTTCATCCGAGGTGTTCTCACCACAGGGGTCTTGACACAGCAGAGTACAGATGTGCTGTTCAGTTGACCTGGAAGTCAGGCGCCTGAAATAACCTGTGTTGTTGCATCAACTGCAGGTCCTGATGCACTCACACTGTTGTCAGGATCAGTTATGAAACAAGTTCGGTGCCTCCTCTTCATCATGTTTCTTCTCTTGTAGCAGTTGTGTTTAATGTCATTAAAACGAAATAAAAGTTCTTGTCGGCGGTGTACGTGCTGTGGCCGCGTCTGTTGCGGGCGTGGAGGAAGCTGTCTGCCTTCCTCCTCTGCGTGGGTAGGTTAGTGGGTAAGGGAGGGGCAGCAGCTAATGGAATGCAGAACCGGGAAGGCGAGGGTACTTGCTCCCTGTTCTTTTGAGGGTAAATTACAGTGTTGAGAAAGGCGTTCCAGCAGATAGAAGTTGATTGGGATTTGCAGCTACAAAAGGTGCATGTCAGGAACCTGACATGGGAGAGCCTGAAATATTTTGCAGAGGGGGAGGTGGCTGAGCCCTCACCAGGCAGGCGTTGCCACACATTCCTCCCCGTGGCTGCGTCCTGCCTCGGTCTCTGCTTGTCCAGTGCTAGCACTGTATGAAGGAAGAAGCCACACTGTCCCCCGGCATCCCTCCTTTGAAGGGCTGTGAGAAACCAGATTTGACCCAGCTTCTCCAGAAACCGCTGCTGCTGGAGCATGGGGGAGGGCTGGACGGGCGTGGGTGGCTGTGGGAGAGAGAGCGCTCCTGAGAGTCCTTTTGTGAACCTGAGCTTACTTGGACTTACCCCAGGAGCAGAGAGAAAAGGGCAAGCACCAGTAACTTGTCACCTGTGTTAGCTAGTGCTTTGCTCAGAAAATAAGCAGCAACGTGTCCAGACGGCTCATTGGCCTGCTGTTCTCTAAGTTGTGTCTAGGATGAGCATTCTAGATGAAAGTCTGTTCTGACTCCAGGCAGAGGGCTAGACTTAAATGTGAAGTGCTCAGCTATTTGGCTTTTTTAAAAATTAATTTATTTGAAAGGCAGACGTAGAGGCGGAGAGAGAGAGGTTTTCCATCCACTGGTTCATTCCCTAGATGGCCGCAAAAGCCGGAACTGGGCCGATTTGAAGGCAGGAGCTTCCTCCAGATCTCCCACGTGGGTGCAGGGGCCCAAGGACTTGGACCATCCTCTACTGCTTTCTCAGGCTATAGCAGAGAGCTGGATCGGAAGTGGGGCAGCTGGGACTCGAACCAGTGCCCATATGGGATGCTGGCACTGCAGGCAGCGGCTTTACCTGCTACACCACAGTGCCGGCCCCTACTTGACATTCTTGTCCTGATCTGAAGTACTCTTGCCTGCGCTCAACCCATTTTACTCTCGCCAGCTGTGGAAGTTCCCTGTCCAGTTACTGCTTGCTTCCTTTTCAGCAGTGTTACTGCTGTGGCCAGCAAGTTTCAGAGACCAGCCTAGATTCTCTGAAACGGTGGTGGTGCCCCTTACCCTCCGCTCCTCCTATGTTATAAGAAAGTGGGGTGGAAAATGAGAAATGGACCTTGTCTAAGAGGAACAGGCTCATTCGTTCAAAGCACATTTTGAGCGTCTACAGGAAGAAAGAACCCAACTGCCTAAAACTAGAAAGCGGAGTTCCCTGCTTTTCTTGATGTCCTGCTTTCCTAAGAGAAAACAGATTTATTCTAAGCTGTTTCCAGGCTGTGTTTGCTTTGTATGCCAGAGCACCTGTTAGGAAAAAAATTTCCACTTGTCACAGAGAATGTCAGCTGGTCAGCAGTGGAATTCCTTCATGAACAAGCTCCTGCCTTGTCATTCCTCCCCTTAGGACAACTGGAACATGGCCGAGAAAAACTGGCCTTCCTAGCACCCGTTGGGAAGGGGGTGGGATGGAATCTTGGATACCCTTTAAAGCTGTTCAAAATGTAGAACTAAGGAACTGTTTGTAAAGGAAGATCTCCTTGAACATTAGCTTCAGGCCACATTTGAGAATGCAGGAGTAGTTTGTGACTGATGGAACTTGGGGGCGGAGCACAGTGTCCCATTATAAAAGCGATTTGTTCTTGGAGGCTACTTAAAAGCAAAATGTGGAATAGGTTGAGAGAGAGACAGCAGGGGTCTGAAACCATGAAGCGTCACCGCGTGGACTGGTGAGAACTTACGTGCTTGTGTAAAGGTCTAGAAAAGGAATTCTAAAGGAGACCCATTCTGAAAAGCTGGCGGCCAGGGACTCCTGCCTTGCAGAAACACCAGTCTGTCTGCGCCCCCACCCCAGGCCCTGGGGTTTCCCTAGGAGGATGTCCTTGGCTCCTATGCTGGGAGGCAGGTGGGCTCCAGAAATCCCCTAGGAAACCAAGGGCTGCCCTCAGTGAAGTCTCGCCTGAGGAGTTGCTGACGACCAGGCAGGCTCTCCTACCTGGTTCCAGCATGCCTCGCGCAGGCCTGTTGTGGTCTGCCCGTGCGGTCTCTTGGGCTCAAAGGCCTGCCTATGCCCTTCCCATGCTGTGAGGAACCTGCAGATCCACCTGAGGTGGCAAAAGGACCACATTCCAAGACACAGAGGTAGGGTTCCGTTTTGGAACTAGACGTGAGAAGCACAGTTGTAGAGTTTGGGAGCCTTGTCTGAGCCCTGAGTGTTTGCTGCGCTCTCCTGGTCCCCTTTGGGGCACCGAAAGCACAGAGGAGGCTGCAGATGAGACTCCAGCAAGCTCCGCGCCCACTGACAACTGTCCAGGCCCATGGGGCTTCTCCATCATTTGGCACTAGGTGGGCACAGAGGGCCCAGGAGGTACCCCTGTGAGGTTTGGCTTAGAACTGTGTGTGCTGATTGGTTTCCTGCCTTCCCACCTGGCCTCTGAGACCTGCTTTCGCTCTTTCGGAACCTTCCAGAAGAGCCTACTCTAAGCCCTGCTTATCTGAGGTTTTTCTCTCCAAGCTCTTCCTGGAATGTTTCCAGTTGCCCCGGTTGCTGGTCTGCTCACTGGCTAACAGCATTACTGCCTTTCCAGCCTGCAGCTGGGATCAAACCGATGCCCCTTTAACAGCCCCAGACAGCAGGCTGTGAAGCAGCGTTTGCAGCTCCTCTTCACTTCCTTCCTTCCCGCGGGGAAACCAGGGCTGCGTTCCTTTGGCCTGGGAAAGCAGCAGCCCCTCCAGAGGGAAAAACCCTTTGTTTAAAAACTGGAGCAGCAGCCCGCATACCTCTGCGGTGAGGCAGCCCCGGCTTGGTTTGGGGGAGCCTCAGCAGGAGGCTGATGCGGCAGCTATTTTCTTCTCCTACACGTGCACCCCCATCTGTTCGAGATTTCCCTTCCAACTCCAGCTTGGCTGGCAGGCATGTCCCTGAGATGCTGCAGGCCAAAATGGAGAGAGAGAGAACGGGGTGCCTCCTCCACACATCCTGACTCGCTGCCAACCGCCAGAAAAAGAGGGCAACATTTGGGCATTTACCAGCAGACAAGGATGTGCCTTTTCATTTGTCTTTTTATTTTACATTTAAAAAGTGGTTATTGCTCTAACTGGATCAGAGGTAAGGACCTCTCCCCTAAGGGGCCTTGGCCTTCGCAGCCCCATCTTGCAGGGATGGAAGTCACAAGACAATGAGTAGCGCCTCATGCCCGCCCCTGAGGAAGCCCTTTGCCTTGCTGACATCTGCCCTTGGTCCCTCTCGGTCCCCTGTGCCGCCGCCCTCGGGCGGAGCGGAGCCAAGGCTGACCAGCCACGAGAGCTCTTGTGGACCGGAAGGAAAGGGGGCGGTCACTGGATGATGGCTTTCAGCTCTCCGGCCTGGGGGCCACCGCTCTTTTCATCCAATTCAACAAATGTCTACTGAGCGCCTACTGTGTGCCAGACTTGTGCTGGGCGCCATCCTCCCACGCTGCATCCTTGGCCAGCGGTGGAAGATGCAGAGTCCACCTCCTCCCATGCAGGCATCAGTCCTGGGGAAGAGGCTGCCTTCCCGCATCGAGCACCTTTTAACCAGAAGGGGGCAGTGGAGACAGAGAGACCTGTCACTCACACCACTCGGGCTCTAGGGAAGGACATGAGGACCGTGGGGAACTCACAAGAATCCCGGATGACATGGCAAGACATGAAGACCCTCCCCGCACCAGAGGGCAGTGGTGACAGCCAGGGCTGCGCTGCCTGTCCGTGTGAATGGCTCAGACCTGCCTTCCAGCAGCTTCCGCTGTGGACTGGGTGGTTTAGCAGCCCCCGGACGGACGCAGGATGTGGACGCGCCATTTGGGTCATCCACGCGAGCACTGCTGAAACTCCCAAGAGACACTTCCCAAGGAAACGAGGCCAATACCTTCCGGGTCTTCTTAAGGCCCCAGACTGACGAGCTTAGAATCAAAGTAAGGTTCGGAGGAGCCAGACGCAGGCAACCAGCTCAGGCCTAGGGGGAAATCCCTCTGCCCTCTGGAGTGCAGCCCTCAACTTCTGTTTTCCAAAAGACACAAAACGTGATGTCTCACACACTCGCAAAGGTGTGCTTCACACCACGGACAAGTCCCTGGGTCCGGAAAAGGTGTGCAGGCAGCCACACCCCCACGCAGCGGGCAGCCCGGGCTTCCCTGATGTCCCCGGGTCTGCAAGACAGCTGGAGTCCGTCTTAGCGCTTGTCAGGTCCCAGAGCTGTGTGCAGGAGAGGAGGAGGCAGGCAGCTGTGTCTCATGCAGCTTTGCCTTTTCCAGAATGGGGCCAGGCTTTGAGTTGTGTGGCTTTTTTTTTTTTTTTTTTTTCAGAATTTGGGTTTGTAGTTCAGCCTCCTTCATCAGACTAGGACAGGGCAGGGGACTGTGCAGCCAGCTGTGCCTCCTCCCCCTGCTGCAGTCGCACCTCTCCCTGGGGCCCAGTACAGAAGAAAAAGGAAATCCTTCCCCTGCAGACAGTCAGGCTTCGATGATCACTGAGGGCTTACTGGGAAACTGGGAGAGAGAATGAGAGAAGCGGCCAGGGCTAATTGAACAGACTTCTTGCAAGGTTGGAACCAGAGAGGACAGGAGGAGGAAGGGAGCAGCAGCCTAAGGGCCAGGCTCTCGTCCCTTGTGGGAAGGAAGGAGGAGCAGCCCTGCCTGGATGTCTCGTCCCTCTGCCTTCTTAAACCCGGCCTTCGGCCTCACTCAGCTGAACGGCCAAGACCAGGTCCTGGGCCCATGGACCCTGGGACCCAGCGCACGCCCAGCAGAGTCCTCCCCCGGGCTGCTCCTCACATCCTGCAGATCTGCCTCTGAGTGCAGCCTCAGCTCCTGACACTGTGGAGGTGCTTCTGGAAGGTGGGAGTTAATAAGAGGCTTCGGGCACAGGCGCCAGAAAGAGAGAAGCCAGGAGAGAGGACAGGAAGCCAGAGGGTGCAAGGAGGTGGGGGGAGGAGGAGATGCAGAGGGCAGATGTCGGCTGGACAGCCATCGCCAGGACTGTGAGATCCTTTCCCATCTCTACTGCCTTTCTTCTGAGCTGCTCAGAGCAAGCACTGAGAAGGTTTTCATATCTGTTTCACAGAGGAGGAAATGAAGGCACAGAGGTGACGCACCTGCTCAAGGCCACATGGCACGGCAGGAGCAGAAGTGAGCCCAGACCACCACCCCACCCCCACCGCCGTCCCACACCGGCCAGGAATTCTGCCCGCCCCACTCACTGCAGTTTTTTTTTTAAACCACCACTGGCCCCTGGCATCCTGCAAAGGGAGAGGATCCAGAATGAATTGTCAGTGTCCCTTGTGTTACACAGGCAGCTGCCAAGCCTGGCTCTGCCCAGCTGCAGCCATGCCAAGCCCTGAGCTGACCTCTCCTGCACTCCAGGGACTCCCAGTGCACAGGGCACAGGGCCACCCCCCAGCCCCAGGTCTTGCCCTCACCTTGCTGCGGAGAAGCCCCCCACCCTGGTGCTCTGGGGTGCTGGTTTCTGACGCGCTCTTGGCTTTCTCCTTGTTGCTGTTGGGCTCGTTGTCCTTGATGATGTCATACTGGCGGCAGAAGAGAGCAATGACACCTGGGATGGACAAGCAGCAGCAGTCAGAGGCCAGGCCTTGCCCCTTGCGCTCCGCCGGCGCGTGCTCCTGCTCCTTCCAGGTGGTCTCACCGGCACCGCTGCAGCAGCCTCCCTCTGCCTCTGGCTCCTCTGTCCACCTGTCCCTCGCCTTCCCCTGCGGCTGGGCTGCGCTGCCTACAACCAACCTGCACCTGAGGTCTCCCCGCTCCCTTCCTGTACGCCTCTGGCAGCTCCCCGTTCCCTTAAGGGGAAGACAGAAGCAATGCTAGCGTGTGTTGAGCAGGTGCCAGGCCCTGCGCTGTGCACGGGCATGTCCCGTCTCACTTAATCCCCGTAACCCTAGGAGGGTGCCTGCTCTGATCGGTCCCAGCTTCCAGGAGAGCTTACCCTGATGCAGAGGAATGGAACTAAGCGGCTTCAAGGTCACCCAGCAGCACTGCCGGGACAGGAGCCCCAGGGCCTAGGGTCCCTAGCGTGTTAATTTCATGCACGTGGCGTCTTTTTAAATGTCACACGGTATTAAGGCAGCCGACTCCGCTTCAGGGTGTTTTCCCCATTTTACTTCTGCGTGTATAGAGTGATTTCTTGATCCATCCTAGGTGTCTGTTGACTTTCCACCATGATGGGTAACACCTAGCAACCAGCTCCCCCCGCTCCTCTCCCGAGCGTCATTGTGAGAGAATCACATCACGATCTGGGGTTAATTCACGTGTTTACTGGTAGGGTTATGTAAAACTGTCTGTGCCAAGTCTCGGAGCGCCACAAGCAAACCTCCCTCCTCTGCTGTGCAAGCCATGGTGTTTCCTGCTTTTTCCCAAGTTCCTTTTTCTTCGCGTTCAAGGAATTCGCTGACTGCGTCTCTACCAGGGGCTGCCCTCTCGGCCACCAGGCTCCCGAAGCCTTTGCGCGGCGGTCAGATCTGTGAGCAGACCCCCGCCACGGCCTCACCGTCCCTCACCCCTCCGTCAGGGCCCAGCTACACTGAGTCAGGCTGAGCTCACTTGGCTTCTTGAACACAGCGGGCCCAGCGCTCCTTCCTCTTGTGGCTGCCTAGTGAACTCCTGTTCATCCTTCAAAGCCCAATCCCCATGTTACCTCCTCTCTGGTTTCTAGCGCTACTCTACCCCTGTGCATGGGACTGTCACAGCATGCGCCACATTGAGCTGGAGGCGAGCTGGGGGCTGGCTTCCTGCACACTGAGTTCTCGCGAGCACAGTGCCCTTCTTAGCCGTGACGGCAGCACCGTGGTGCTGGACGGCGTGGGTGTTCTGGGCGTGAAGGTGAGTGAGACTTTGTCTTTCTCCTCAGGCAGCTCACGGGCCGAGGGGAAAGAGCAGGGAGTCCGGCCACCTGAGGCAAAGAGGAGCCAGAGAGGGCACACAGCAGGGGGCCGGGGTGCGGGTGGGGGCACTTTTCACACAGGCTAGAGAAGGGGTCACACGTGGCCCCCAGAGCTGCCCCGGTGGGACGCACGGACGTTCTGCATCTTCCCTCGGATGTCTCCAAGTCCCTTTGTTTCTGTGAGAGAAGAGGGTCTGGCCAGGGGGTCAAAGCAGGGGGGATCGGAGGCCACACTCACCCGCCCACATGAACAGGACCACCACGATGATCAGCACCTCCCCCGTCCGCAGCTGATGGTTCCTCCCCATCTCCTTCATGGTCACCTCGTCTGTGGCGAGAGACAGACAGCATAGGTCCAGGGTTCCTTCCACCCTGCCCAGCGCCCCTTCTGGGGCCAGCCCAGGACAGCAGGGGCTTAGAGCTGCAGGTGCCCACGCATCCCACCTGAAGGAACCACACCAATGGCCGTGCAGGCTGGCAGCGGGAGAACCCAGTCTCAGGGCGGAAGCGGACACACCCAGCGTCTCGGGGAAACCCTCTTCCAGGGAGGATTCTGGGCAGGAGGGGCTTTTCCCGAAGCCGCCAGCCCCAGCCCTGGCCCTGCCCGCCCCTGCCCCTCCAGCGGTGACCCGGCCTGCCTTTATTCTTGGAGGCCAACTTCTCCGCCTCGCGCGGGGTCTTGAAGAGCACCGGCTCGCTGGCCGGGCTCTGGCCCTGGATGGAGATGGCCTGCACGTGCACGATGTACTCGGTGTCCTCCTCCAGGTCCCAGAGGGCGCACGAGCGCGTGGTGGTGTTCACCTCCTGGATGAAGCGCAGCATACGCACGTCCTTCTTCTGCAAAGGCGGGTGCCCGCGGGGGCCGTCAGAGCCTGGCCACACCTCCCAGCACTGACGCTCTTAACCAGCCCCCACCGCTGGTACCCAGATCCCCATTTTTAAAAATGGATTTATTTTATGTATTTGAAAGGCAGAGTCACAGAGCGAGAAGGAGAGAGAGAGAGAATCTTCATCCTCTGGTTCACTCCCCAGATGGCCGCCAGAGCTGGGGCTGAGCCAGGCCAAAGCCAGGAGCCTGCAACGCCATCCAGGGCTCCCAGGTGGGTGGTAGGAGTCCAGGTACTTGGACCATCTTCCACTGCCTTCCCTCAGGCATCAGCAAGGAGGTGGATGGGGAGCGGGACAGCCAGGCCTAGAACTGGTGCTCTGATACAGGGTGCTGGTGTTGCCAGTGGCAGCTTAACCTGGTGCACCACAACAATGGCCCCCATTGTCTCCATTTCACAGATGAGGATCAGAGAGTTTAGGAAAGTTGTCCAAGGCCACACACTGAGAACTGGAGCCAGCCAGGTCCTAAACACACGGTTATCTGAGAGCAGCCTCGGGCTCTTCTTAACTCCCATAAGCCCCTGAGCCTTGCTCCTGGGGCCCAATTCCAGATGTGCAACCTGCTGCCCATCTGTCTCCCTGAGCCCCTTTCTCCTTTGCCATCTCTGCACCCCACTGCCGTCCCCGGGCCCACAGGGTTACCTGTTGAGAGATGGCGAATCCGATGACAACCTCCTCCTCCAGGACGTCCCAGCTCACCACCGCCGAGTTGGCCTTGAGGTGCCTGACCGTGACGTTCACTGGGGCTGAGGGGCTGTCTGGGGGTGGGGCGGGGAGGCACCTGAGCCTGAGCACCCTCCACTGTGCAGCCCAGACCCCGGGTCTCAGAGGTGAGAAAGGGAAACCTGGGCCAGGCCAGGCACAGGGGAAGGCAGGAAGCAAAGTCTCAGATGGGGTCGTTGACATGGGGTGGGGACGGGGGCTTGAGAGGCCCAAGGCTGCCCCTGTGTCTAGCACACCAGGCCCTACTGGCCCCCAGGGGTCCCAGGCTACAGCTGATGGGCCTGAGCCAGGGTCAGACCCAATGGGTGGGTGGCTGCAGTCAGGGAGTCACGGGGGAGGGCACGTAGGTGACGGGGGGAGGGCACGTAGGTGACGGGTGGGGGTGAGTCTGATGAAAGGCAGCCGAAAGGACTCCAGGTCCAGTGCTCACTCTACACGGCTGCCCTGTCAAGTGCGTGACCTTGAGGGAAGGAGAAAGACCCAGAGAAGCCCAGCGGAAGCAGCCCTGGGGTGGGAGTGAGGGCAACTGAGGACCCTGCCCCCCATAGTGACCCGGGCAAAGCGCAGCTTGGGGACACCTCTGTGCCGGCCTCTTCCCCGCTCTCCCTCAGCCCCAAGAGGCTGGGGGGTGGTGGTGGCAGGGGCAGCTGGGACCTTCTGGACAGGAGAGCTGAGGAGTGGCCACCCCAGGAGGAGGAGAGTAGGAGGGACGGGGCAGGAATGGGGGGCCAGGAAGGAAAACTCCCAGGAGAGGGCAGTACGCTCCCTCCAGCTCTGATCTCCAGGGCCAGGGGCTGCCCCTCGAGGCGCCCCAGACCCCGCGGACAAGTAGACACAAGGCCCAGAAGGGACGGGCCAGCTGCAGGGATGCCAGAGAAGGGCCCAGAGTGTTGCAGGCTGAGCAGGAGACTGGCGCTCGGGGCCACCCAGGGAGGGACAGCCAGGCAGTGCAGCCAGAGGACAGGGCGGTAGGAGAGGCCGGGAGGAGGCTGTGGCACCCGACTCAGGGGCCCGCCTACCCACCCTGCACCCTGGCGGGCTAGGGCCTGCAGAGGCGGCCGGCAGGGCCCTGGCAGGTCTGTGGCCAGGGAGCAAGGCCCACGGTGTCCTCGGCTGCTCCCTGGGCCAGAGAAGGAGCTCGGGAGTCTGAGGCGCAGGCTGGGGCCAGGGACTGGGATTCGGGGGTCGGGGGTAGAGGGATGACAAAACCCTGAAACCCCAGGGGTGAATGACGGCACAAGGTTTGAAGGCTCAAGGACGGGTGCCGGGGTCAAGACGGCTTGGAAGCAGCTGGGGGCTGGGCTGGGGGGCACTTGAACTGCAGAGACAGGGGCTCCCTAGGGCGCGGGGGAGGGACCCAAGGAGTCCCGGGTGCGTGGGGCGGGAGAGGAGCCTGCCCCGGCCCGGCCCGGCCCGCCCCCCGCCGGCCCCGCTCGGGGCCCCCTTACCCGCCTGCACCAGCGCGAAGCAGACGCAGCCCAGCCACAGGCGGAGCGCGGCGCGGGGCGGCGCGGGGCGCATGGCGGCCCCTCCGGCCGGCCGGCCCGGGGCGGCGCAGGGGAACACGGCTCCGGCGCCCGGCGACCGCTGGCGCTCACGCTCCGGCCCGCGGCCCGCCCGGCCCGGCTGCCCCGCGCCGCCCCGCGCCGCCTGCATGTCGGCTCCGCGGACAGCGACTCCCGCGCGGCGGCGGCGGCGGCGGCGGTGGCGGCGGCCGCAGCGGCGGGGGAGGAGGCGGGTCGCGGCCGCGTCCACGTCGGGCGCCCGGGGGGCGGGGCGCCCCCGCTGCGGGGAGAGCGGGGGCGGGGTGAGGGGCGGAGGGCGCCCCGGCTGGCTCCGGGCGCCGGCCGGGTACCCAACTCGGGCGCTCGGCGGACCGTGCGCCCCCTACCCCCGCGGGTGGCCAGCCGCCGCCAGCCCCCACCCTGTCGCCCCGCACCCCCGACCCAGACCCCGAGCGGGCCCCAACTCTGCCCTCTCCCAGGAAGCAGGAGGGACGCTCATCCGCCCCACCCCAGAATGGCCTGGGTGTCCCCACCCTCACCCCCAGATCCGAGGCCTTGCTGGCTGGGGCAGGAGTGAACTGCGAAGAGGAACCCCGCAAGGGTGGGAACACGGCAGGTACAAACAGACAGTCGGTGTTCCGTGCTTACTGAGGGCTCTCGGAGTCACGGGAGGGTCTCGCCCTGGGACCCCAGCCCAGTCCTTTCCCTTCCTAGGGTCTCCGTTTTCGTCCCCACCGTGAGAGCGCCGGTGAGTGTGTGTGCTAGGTGCAGCCCGCTGAGGCCTGCCCGCCTTCGGTGTTTTCAGACCGGCTACTTGGCTAGTCCCAGGACCCACAGCAGCAGGATTTGAACCCAGGCTGTTCTGACTCCCCACCTGGTGACTTCACATCCCCTGGGTCCCTGAGTTTCTAGAATGTGCCGTGGCAGCTCCTCTCCGACCACAGCACAGTCTAGAACAATCTCTAAGAGCAGTGGGAGGGGGGCACGGCTGCGGGGCCGCCGCCCCCACCCTGGCCTGTGAGTGCGGATGGCGCTAATGGCTGTAAAGTGCAGGGGGCGGGGCCGGCAGCAGCCACAGCTCTTAAAGGGCTGCATGACCCTCCCTCCCCCCAGTACCCTGGAGACAGCCGTATGCCTAGCACTTTCCTGGCTACGATCCACGACTGTGATTGGCAGAGAGGTGCGCTCGCCTACACCCTCCATCCTACCCAGGGACCATCAGGCAGCTGGACCACGGACACCAAATGAGGGTGTCCCAGTGCCAAGTTCCAGGGAAACAGAGTTGAGGAGAAAGGCGTGAACCAGGGTCCTGGATGCCCTGCCACAGAGCGAGCCCCCATCTGTCTTGGGGGCACCTCCCCCACTGAATACCTCCTGCCCCCCTACACACACTAGCGGGGCATTCTTTGCTTTCTGGTCCCCCAGCGGCCCTAGAGGGCTGGTCCCCCGTGGGAAGGGGACATCTTGAGAAATAATCACACTGGATGTCCTGAGATCCACCCCCACCAGGGCGGGGACGGGGGTGGGGGTTAGATTAAGGAACTGAGACTGGGAGCCGGGAAGATCTTTGGGCAGATTCTCACACAGTCTAGGGCAGCAGCAGGAAAACCCTCGCCTCGCAGAGCGCACCCAGGGCTCCCTCCACTGGCCCCAAGGTCCTGCCTGGTCTCCTAGGAGGGGTGAGAGGGGAGGGGACCAGTTGTTGAACAGCAGAATCTTACAGCTCAGCCCCTCTGTACCCGTCCTTGGCAGGCTGCCCCTGCTTCCAGCCCCATCTGTTTCCTCCACCACATACCTTGTCCTTGGTGAAACTCGGCTGGGACCTGGACCGGTCTCGGTTGGAGCCAAGAGCCAGAGCACCTCTCTCCTTCTCTCCTTTCTCTCTGTCTCTCCTTACTCTCTCTTTCTCTCTTCTGGCAGCTGCTGCCTGCCCCGCCCCAACTGCCCCGCCCCACCAGCTGCAGCTTGGCCCCTAGAGACCCCCACCCCCACCGCTAGGCAGAAAAGGCAATCAGGGGGCCCCTAGGAGCAGCTGGAGCCTCCTCGGGCCTCCATCACAGAGCCAGCAGGAAGAAGAGGGGTCAGTTAGAGGTCAGCAGGATCCACTCTTGTCCCCGCCGGGGAGTCGGGGGGTGGGGTGAGGTGGTGGTGGGGTAATGGGAGGGAGAGGGTCCTGTAGGGGTCTGGTATGGAGTCCAGTTCTGGGGAAAGGGGCGCCTTAGCGCCACCTGCTGGCCTTTCCGGGTAAAAGCCCAGGTAGCTCTAGGGCACTGGGAAGCCGGGCGAGGGAAGGCGGCTGGAGTGGGGGACCAGGGGGACTGGGAGGACCCGGAGGCCTCATCATGCGGAGGTGCTTGGGCACTGCGTCAGTTATGGTGGGAGTCGTGTGCTTAGAGCCTGGCAGCCAGTGGGATTGGGGCCGGGGGTGGGAAGAGCTGGTGTGAGCCTGGGAACCCACAGCTTGATGTGCACTGCCCCTTGGCACAGAGTCCCAGATCCAGTAGGTGCTTAATAAGTGTTAACTGCAGGGAATACATTTGTTCTTCAACGCATTGCTGAGCAGCTAGTGTAGACTGGGCTCTGGGCAACATCCTGGGAACACAGCAGTGGGAGAACAAATCCATGAACAGGATCTGTGTGGGGGCTGCGAGTGTGCCTCTGTCCTCCCAAGCCACCCTCACTGCTCTCTGGGGGACTCCACAGACTCCACATTGGTACCTGGTGGAGTCACCCGCTCCAGGACCCTCATGGGAGTCCAGAGCCGCCCAGGGCCTCAGCACCTCGGACTGCAGAGGTCCAAGCCAGATCCCAGTAGCCATTTAGAATAGGAAGGCTCCTCTGCTAGCCCAGGGGCCCCACGTTGGCATCCCCAAGCTATGGGGAGAATCGGAGAAGCCCAGGAGATTGCCCCGAGCACCTGCCAGAGTGTGGCTCTTCATCTGCGTTATTTTTTTGAGTCTTAGGATGGAGTGGGTTATCAGCTCCCGTACCAAGTGAGGAAGCCGAGGATCAGAGAGACGAGGGGCACGCCCTGGCTCTTACCGCCAGCAAGCTCTGGAGCCAGATCTCACATTCAGGGACGTGGCTCCAGTGCAGGGCTGATCCAGCCTGGCCGTCACCCCCCTCACCTCGAAGGACCTCAGAGGACAAGAGCTCACCAGGAGACATCAGTCTCCTTCGCTGGGGGTGGGCATTTGGCACATTGCCCCTCCCGCACCCCACGTCAGAGTGCCTGGGTTCAAATCCTGGCTCAGCTTCCAATTCCAGTTTCCTGCTAATGCGCACCCTGGGAGGCAGCAGGTGCTGGCTCAAGTGGGTGGGTCCCCGCCACCCATGTGGGAGATGCAGATTAAGCTCCAGGCTCTGGGTTTCATCCTGGCCCAGCCCTTCCTGTTGCAGGGACTTTGGGGGGTGAACCAGTAGATGGATGATCTCTCTCATTCTGTCATTGTTGTTCTGCCTTTCAAGTAGAAGAAAATCAGTAGACATTCAGAAAGAATTTAAAATAAAATAAAAATGAAAACCCTCTTCTTTGGAAGGCTTGAGGGGGCTTGCTGCTCAAGGAAGCTGCTGAACTGAGGGCCGGGACCACAGAGGGAAGGGGGCAACCCTGCACCTGTTACTCTCCTTCTGCCTGCATGTTGCACACGTAAGAAAAGTCTCTCTGAATCCTTGTCAGTTAGGACTGTTATACCCATTTTACAGATAAGGAAACTGAGGCCCAAAGAGAATGAGTGTCTTGCCTTGGGCTGTACAGCTGGGATATACCAGTTTGCCTTGTCTAATCCCCCAAATCTCCATCCCAGCAGTGATGAGGCCAGCCTGGGCCAATGTCTCCTGAGTGCCTGTGCCAGACCAGCCTGGGGCTGGGGGCTCGGGACACTGTGATGAATCAGCCCCTCAAGGGGCTCCCATGCTCAGGGCCTTACCTGCTGGAACACTGGGCACTCAGCATGCACAGGGGCAGAAGAATCAACTGAGCAGGGAGGGCTGCTGGGAGGAGGTGATGTCTGAGCTACGTAAGGACTGACAGTCAGGGGGGCCTCAGCCTGGGGGAAGGGCAGAAGGAAAACGGAATTGCGGGGCCTGAACCTGGGGGGGTACAGTGTCTATGCAGGGGGGAAACGGGGAAGGCCGGGCTCGCTGCAGGCTCCGGGTGGGACACTCGGCTGGGTTTGAAAGGCTGTTCTGAGCGCGCTGCGGAAGTTGGGGCCAGAGACGGCTTTATTCACTCAACAATACTTCTTGAGCACCTACTAAGTGCCGGGCCCTACATTAAACAAGACAAGCTCCCCATGGACCTCACCTCCTGGGCAAGAGACGAGCCATAAATCAGCGAGGTGATGAAGGAGTGACACAGCTTCAGGTGCTGTGAAGAGATGGAGTAGCAGGAACAGCATAGCTGAATGGGTGTGTGTGTGCGCGCGCGTGTGTGTGTGCGTGCGCGCGCGTGCGCTCAGGAGGGCGCCATCCAAGCTGAGACTTGAAGCAGGAAAAGGAGGCAGGTTTAACACACCCCAGGAAGGCTGCTGCAGCCACAGGCACAGCAAATGCAAAGGCCCTGGGGGGTATCGGAGACGTGGGCAAGGAAATGAGGGCAGCTGGGATTGGCTGGCCAGGGCCTTGGGGGCGTGGACCAGAGTGCAGATCGACTCCACTCACCATGGAAGGCTTCAAGGAGAGAGTTGATGTGATCCGATGTATGTTTTAAAAAGCTCCCTTTGCCTGCCTCAGTGTTCAGACTGAACCGCAGAAAACAGGAACAGGGCGGGGCGACCGGTGAGCAGCTCGGCAAGCAGGGGTGGGGCCTAGGCCGGCAGTAGCAGGTGACAGGGAGAGAAGCCAGTTTGTCAGGGCCCTTTGTGTAGGAACCGATGATGAATGAGGTGCCTGGGGGGGGGGGGGTAGCCGGGATGAAACAGGGCAGGAGTCAGCTCTCCCAGGCCAGATTCTGCAGCCAGCAACACCTGGCTGGGGGGTGCTGGGCCAGTGGCCCCACCTCTCTGAGCCTCGGCTGCCTCCCCTGGGAAAAAGATGATACATACTCTCCTGCTGTCAAGCGGAATAGCCGGCGTTCCTGTGGCGAGTGGCGTAGAGCACGGGGGG